GTTAACTTCAGATATAGGATTTTTAAAAACACGTATGTTAAACATACAGAAGGAATTTGGTAAAGAACATTGGTATATCTATCACCTATATTATACCATTAAACTACGGGGCCTCATCACACATATATTCTTCCAGCCATTCCCCATACAGAGGGTTTTTAAATTACTTACAGAATTTGTGTGTAACTCGTATTACTATTTAGAGAATACAGCATATTAGAGGATCTAGTAGATTAATGTTATGATTCCATTATAAAATATGTCAATAAGTGCTTGATTTTAGACTTTAAATTTTAATTGGAAAATTAACAAAAACAGTATTGACATATTCAGAAAACTTAAGTAAGACATAACCCTTATGAATTCAAAGAACTAGAATTGTTTTAGGAATTAAGGAAGAGTTGCTTATTATAACATATATTTAAAATAAAGTATCAAGACCAGCAGATGGTGTACTGGTTACACCACTGGACTCCCACATAACTGACCACAGTTCGAGTCCCAGACCCGGTGGCTTGAAACTCACACTAGGCTATTGTGTGTGCATACCCAAAAGAGAATGGAGGAGAAGGGATTGCAGTGTGACCATCCCTCCAAGGGGTGATTTCTTGCTTTCTGTCTCTCTGTCTCTGTCTGTCCGCACATGCTCTCTATAGCAAAAATCTCTCTAAAAAAATACTTAAAGGGACCAGTGATTAGCATAATGGCTATGTCGCTGGACTCCCACGTAGTCGACCGCGGTTTGAGTCCCAGACCCGGCAGCTTAAACTCACACCGGGTGCGTGTGCGTGCTTGCCCAAGATCCCAAGAGGAGAATGGAGTAGAATGGATTGCGGCATGGTCCTCCCCCCTGGGGGCTGATTTCTTGCTTTCTGTCTCTCTGTCTCTCTCTGTCTGGAGAGCGCACGCACCCTATAGCAAAAACCTCTCCAAAAAAAAAAAAACTTAAAGATTTAAAGCATATTTTAAAGGCACTAATGTAGCCTAACATATGAAAGTGTATTTTAAAACATTTGTTTGTTTGTAAATGGCAAGAAAAGTTCATCAAAGACTTCATTTAAAGTCTCAAAACTCACTGGATTTATAAGTAGAATAATAAGTTACATGAAGGAATGTCAGAAGACTTATGGAAAAATTGAATTAAAATATGAGTTTATTATGGTGCAAAAACTTTTAAAATCTGCACAGTTGCTTTATAATACACATTTTCATGAACTTTTTGAAGATCCCATATATAAACTGATCTTAATAACCTAACAGAGGGCCAGCAGGTGGCATGGTGGTTAAGGATGTTGTTCTTTTGCATGGCTGACCTCAGTTCGAGTCCTGGACCAGGTGGCTTGCTTTCTCATTTTCCCTCTCTGGTCAAATTAAAATAAATAAATAAATGAAATAAATAAAGTTAAATAAAATAATTCTTAAAGCAATACTTAACAGAAAACTAGGTCTTTGAGTTTTGAAGGTCAAATAAAATGTTACATTAAAAAGCTTGTGGTCTCAGCTACTGGGGAGACAGAGGCAGAAAGATCGATGAAGTATCTTCAAAAAAATGATGGAAAACATATATTACAAAAAAAACTGTACGTGGATTTTTTTTAAATCTGCACCAAAATAAACCAGTGCTTGTTTGTACTTTTTTGTTGTTGTTGTCATTGGGTTCATGTGCTCAACAGTGTAAGACAGAGAAACAGTGAGAGAGAGAAGACAAAGCACCCACACACACACCAGGAAGAATGGTCATGCCAGAAATTCTTCCTCCTCCATTTCTCCCTCCTTTCAGGATTTTGGGCATGAAATCAAACATGCCTGGTATGTTTCTCAAGCTACTGGGTCCAGAATTTGAACCAAGTGGGATCCAGTGCCTTTAGTCACAGGTTATGGGCTGATCCCAATTCATATTTAATTTCATTTTTCCATAAAATTTGAGGTTTTATATATATATGTGTGTGTGTGTGTGTGTGTGTGTGTGTGTGTATATATATATATAATATATATATATATATATATATACCTGTATCTATATATCTATATTATATAATATAGATATATAAATATAGATATCTATATATGGTATATATTAATATAATAGATTAAATAATATATTAATAATTACCTAATATTATATAACATAGATATATAGATATCTTACATATGCACACACACAAAAACAACAAAATAGCCAGTGCAGAAAGGTCGCCATCACAGACACCAAAAACTCGCAGTGACCAACAGACAAGCCCTAGGAGTAAACCAGAGAGAGGCCGAGGAGGAACTGTTTTGTAGAGGACCAAGGGAGGCATTCTGAAAGTAATGCAGTCATCATAACCACAAAGTGCCGGTGGGTGCCAGGATGGGCACCAATCACTCCACACCCACTGCCCTCATCAGCCTCGGAACTTGGCCATGCAAAGGTGGCCTTGTCCACCCGATCTTTTTTTTTTTAGATTTTTGCTACAGGGCACATGTGCTCACCAGAGAGACAGAAAGGGAGAGCTCACCCCCCAGGGGAGATGGACACACCACAATCCCTTCTCTTCCATTTTTTTTCCTCAGGATCTTGTGCACACATGTACACACACCCAGCATGAGTTTTAAGCCACTGGGTCTGGGACTCAAACCATGGTGGACTATGTGGGAGTCCAGCGACATAACCATTATGCCATATGCTGGTCCCTCCATCCCATCTTATGGACACCTGGAGAGAGACAGCTCAAGCCACATGGATGGTGTTTCTATGACGGAACTCTTTGCCTTCCCCTCTTCCCAAATTTTAAATGATTAAAATGTCTTTAGTATCTGATGGGAAAATATAAAAATAAGAAGCCCATGAATTTCAAATTCTTATTAAATTATGAAAGAAGTTAGCCATGATTTGGGTGTAGGGAGTAGAGCTTGCTGGCTCAAGTTAGGGCAAGGAATTGGAGGGTAAAATATCTAGAATCCAGTAGAGATCAAAAGGGCAAGACCTCTTCCTGTGTCTCCCACCTCAGTGAGGGCATGTCCAAATCTCATAGGTCCAAGCAAAAACCTGACATGCCCTTGACTCTATCCTCCCAAGCCCCTGGGACCTGGTCCTCCCATTTCCCTCCTGGGAAACCTGCAAATCCCCCCTCACTCTTGTTTCTGTCAATCCTTTCAATGCCTGTTCTGAGTTATGTCTCTCTCCTGCTTCGCTGTGCCCAGTCCTAAGTCCTTACCAGGGCTCGGGAGGCCTTCACCACCCAACCTCTCCTGAGGTCTCCCCTTCATCTGTGTTTCCTCCTCAAGTCCTGCCACACCTACAGCAGCAACACTCAGAGTTGTCCCAAAGTCCCATGTGCTCTTCAACTTGGGGTGTGCCCTTTCTTGCTCTCTCTCTTTTCCTGGCAATCTCCTTCTATCCTTCAGGACTCTGCTTGAGGAGGACCAATATTGTCACTTCCCCCTCTTCTGGGACCCTGGCTACCCTACCCCTGTGTCCTTGCAGTGATCACTCTGTCTCTTTGCACCATGAGACTCTTGGCCCCTTGAAGGCATTATCTGTGTCTCATTCACTGTGTACTCCTGGTACTTGGTGAAAAACCTAGCACATAGTAGGTGCTTCATTAATGTTTAGGGCCTGACCATCAGGATGGAAGAAACCAAGATATCTGTCCCTTGATATCTGTCTGATTTGCCAAGATCTGTTCTGTGCTGTGTCTTGTACTTTGCTTTGAAGGAAGATGGGCAGGGTTTGTAGAACAGGAGGTCTTTAAAAAGAAGACCAAGAGCCCAACAAGAAAGTAGAGAGGTTCCATGTCTGAAGGGAGGGCAGAATAGGGTCCTGGAAAGAACACAGGTGGAGAGAAGACTGAAGAGTGGGTTTGTTCACCCAAGAGACATTGACTGAGAAGCCATGAGGGTTTGACAGCCAGTCCCTCTGCAGGATGCTGCTGATAGAGCAGAAACTCCAGCTTAGAGCATGATTTCCTCATGTCAGACTTTATCCTAAGACACTGATTATTGACTCTAAATCCTCACAACAATTATATGCAGCAAATGTGAGTCCCATCAGATGGATAAGGAAGCAGCAGCACAGCGAGACAAAATCAGCCCAGAGTCATAGCCAGGAAGTGAAGGGTCTGAATATGAAGTCAGGCTGTCATTCCCCTAGACCCTTAATAAGTTTTTGTTTTGTTTTGTTGTTTTTGTTTTGTTTTGTTTTGTTTTGTTTTGTTTTGTTTTGTTTTATTCTGCCAGAGAGCATGTGAGCTACCTGGGGAGAGAAAGAGAGGGAGAGGGAAAATGAGAAAGCACCTGCCATGGTGGCATGGTGACACTATAACCCCTGCCATGGTGGCATGGTCACACTATAACCCCTTCTCCTCTATTTCTTCTTTGGGGATTTTTGGCAGGTACACTCATGTACCTAGCAGCTGGGTCTGGGACTCAAACTGTGTGGTTGGCCATGTGGGATGGATCCAAGACCACCACTTCATCAGGTGGCCTGACCCCTTAATATTAATTTTGAACAATAAGCTAGAAGACTCCAACTATCCCTGAATCTACATTCTGGAGAAAGAAAGCTAGATAACAACTAAGCAGTCACACGAGATATCTAGACAGTGACAGGTGCTCAGAAGGGACTGCATCGGAGGATGTGGCAGAAAGTGCCCATGGAGCTCCCCCTGGATTAGGGTGCCATGGAAACTCTCTCCTTGGAAGAGACATTTGAACTGAAATTTGAATGATGAAAGGAGCCAGCCCTGAGTGGGAAAGGTGTTCCGAGCACAGGGAACAGCAAGTGCAAAGACCAGGAGCACCCCTGGAAGACGACTTCCCTGGAGATTTGGCATCTCCCCAAGGCAGCGCAAGAAATTCTCTGGCTGCCACAGAGGCTGCTGCTTTGCATGGATGTGGACTTTCCCTAGCTGAGTCTGGGGCAGAGACAATGGGGAGAGGCTCCATGTATGCCCCCAGAGCTGCCCTGCAAGGGAGTGGTTTGGGCCCAGGCATCTTACCACCAAGCCAGGCAGACTCACGTTTTGTTTGAAGCTGTGATTCTTGGAGCATTCGGAATCATCCTGCCAAATATCTGTGGAGTTCTCTAGCGTCTGCCAAGTCCCCCGAGCCAAGCAGTGTCTGTAGGCCCTTCCTGAGCTCTCTGAAAGTAAACAAAGCTCTAGAGGAAAGGTCAGAACACACAGCTCATTTCCCTAAGCACGTTGCAAGTCCCTCTCTCTCTGGCCGCAAAGCTGTGGAAAATCCCAGGGAAAAGGGATTTTCACTTCCCCTTTTGGGGGTTCATTACCATCTCTGCTGTTTATTTGGGATAGAAAGAAAAACACAGAAGCCTCTAAATTTCATAACAAGCCACGATCCCCTAATGTCGTCTGTGTTTACCCAAAGTCGCTGGAGTTAGAACAGTCGCTGGTGACTCAGACGTATTCTGATCCCTCCAACATACAGCCAAGCTGAGAGATGCCCACCTGGACTCCCTGTGCTCGCTTAGTGGGGCATCTTTTTCTGATACCCAAGAGGCAGTGCCACAAAGAGAAAAGGGTGGGCAGGAGGCAGACAGGCCAGGGATAAGTCACTCTGCCACTCGGGGACAAGCTTTGTGGCATGGACCACCATCTCCCATGCTCTGAGTGTTCAAATTTCTTTGTCAGGAACTGGAGATGATAATAGTGCCAACCCTCCATGGAAGGATTAAACAAAGCGTGTCTGTGCCAATGTAGATAACTTGCTCTGCCCATGCCATGTTCTTTGCTATTGTCATCCAGTCCCACCTGTCCCAGGAGCCCCTCCCCGAAGGGTCTCCTACCTGGAGATCAGAGACTGGACTTGCAAATGGCAAGTGGAAATGTGTTGGAATTGCCTGGTCCTGACCCTGAACATTGTGGGGAGCATAACTATTTGCCATTGATGGGTACACATATTGTACTTCCACCCACCCACCTGACAGCTTCACCAGTCTCAAACAACAGGCCTCAAATCAAACTCTTCATCTTGTCCTCAAAAATCTGTTCTACCCATGTATTTTCCCACCTCAGTGGAGGGCAAACCCATCCTTCCAGTCCCTTGGCTCCAATCTGCAGAGTCATCCTTGCCTTCTCCCTGTCTCTCAGAGCCCTTGATCAATCCACTGGCCAGACCTATCATCTCTACTTTCAAATACACCCAGACTCTGACCCTGCTTTTCACTTCCTGCTTCCACCCTAATCCCTCACCTGGATGTCACCTCTGACACTCTTGCCCCTCACATCTATGGGTAACCCAGCAGTCAAAGTAAGTTGAATAAAATGTCATTGCATCATGCCAGACTTCTCAAAAATCTTGCAAGGGCCTCTGAGAACATGTCAGAGTCTTCCGATGGCCTTCTGCAAAGCTCTGTAAGACCTGGCGACCAATACTCTCTAACCTGAGCTCCTAGTGCTTCTCTTCCTGCTTTGTTTCAGCTACATTCACCTCCTCCTCTTCATGGAACAGACCAGACACGAAGCCTTTGCACTGTGGTCCCCTTCTGTCCTGAACATTCTTCTCCTATTAGCTAAAATGTTTACTTCCATTAAGTCTTCACCAAAATTCCACCTTGTCATTGAAGACTTCCTGACTACCCAATTCACAATTGTAATTCGTCCCCCCACTCCAACTCTCCTTTCTCTTTTACCCTCTCTACCTAATTTAAAATATTCCACATTCTAACATATTTTATGTTTGTTTATTGTATTTATTGATCATTACCTTTCCTGCTAGAATGTGAGCCCCACAAGAAGAGCAATTGTTTTGGTCACATATATCCCAAGCTCTAAAAACAATGATTGGCACACAGTAGGTGCTTAATAAGTATTTGTTGAATGACTAAATGGTGATGTCACTTGACACTTGTGTTCTCTACGCCAGCAATACTACTTTGTGCTGGGGAGCCAAAGATGAAGTCTGAGTGGGATATTAGCAAATGCCATAAACTGATCGATCCTAAGGCAGAAGCCTGCATAAGTGTGTAAGAAAGGCAGGGCCCATCATACTTATGGAGAAAAGGCTGAGAAATTTTCAACAAGAAGGAAAGATCTGAGCTTCGATTTGAAGTTGGGTTTATAGGCAGAAGAGTGTCAGCAGACCCTTGGAGGAGGGGTCCTGGCCAGAAGTGTGTGCAAAGACACTGGGTGGCAGTAGCTGGGCAGTTGCAGGACCTGGGAAGTTGTTTGTTTGGCTAGACTGCAGAGAAAGCGGGAGGGGAGAGAGTGTTAGCAAGATCGCAGGGACAGATGGCAGAAGGTCTTGTATGCCAATTATAGGTGCCATGACGGGGCCAGACATAACATTCTAGAAAGTTTTGTGGAGGGTGGTTGGAGGGTGGCTAGATCTGACGGGACCAGGGAGGAGACCAGGGAGCAGCAATAGAGGGTGATGATTGACCCCCATGAAAGCAGCATCAGAGAAGGGTTGAGAACCCAGCTGCCAACGAGATGAAGGGTGAGTCTGAGGGAGGCTGAGTGGAATGAGACCATTCCTGAGGTGCGGAATAGAGGAGAAATTCATTTTCCTTTCCTCCACTTCCTCCCCTTTGCTATTCCTCAATTTTTATTCTAACTTATGACAATTCTTGGCTATTCCATTGCCCATTTTTTTTCTTTAATCATTTCCCTTTTTTTCCAAGCTCTGCTTGAATCCAAACCCTTATCATGTCTCTTTCTGAACCCCCACAGTAACTTCCAGACTTGCCTCCCTGATTCCCTTCCATCCCAACAGCCATAAACCACCAACATTGTCCTCCCGAACCACAACACTTGCCTTTTTGTGCCTTAGCACATTTCGCTTTCCACATAACCTTCTCTAGAAGGAAAGCTTAAAACCCTTAGAATAATACACACTTTCTTTCACAATGAGCCCCCAGCCTCACTTACCCATCTTAGATACCAATACAGTCTCTATACACCATGAGACGCTCTCTCTCCTCATGTTACCATGATCATTCCTGTAATCATAGCTTGCCAAAATTCTCCTCCATCCCTTTACATTCAGAGATGTCTTCTAACCCCTCTATCATCTCCACATTCTCATTTTTCTGCAGGAACCCATTTGCATTCTAAAGACGCAAGGTGAAACATGTCATGTGGTCACTCCCCACCTTTTGCAAATTGCATTCCCTTCGGTACACTCCAGAAACGTGGAACCCAGTTTCATAAAAGAACTTTTAACTCAACTTCTTCATACATTTTTATTTTTGAGTATTAGCTTTTTTTTTTTCATGTAAAGTGGAATGGACCTCAACTTGCAGCTCTCAGGAAGGAACAAGGAGGAGGAGGTGGAAGGTGGTAGTCTGTGCCACCTATCATTGGGCACACTTGGGATTTAAAGACCTGAAGGAAACCAAGGGGCTCCACCTTGGACTCATCTTCAGCTCCAATTTACAAAGCACCTACTAGGCATCGGCTCAGTGCATACCTTTTCATTTATTCCTCAAAATAGCTTTAAGAGTTAGCTATTATTCACTTCACGTTACAGATGAGGAAACTACAGCTCAGAGGGCTTCAAGAACGTACCCACAGCATCGGAGTGTAAAAGACAGGGACTGGTCTGACCTGGGTGCTCCTGACTCCACATCCAGTGCTCCTTCTGCCTTGTTGGGTGGACTGCCATAGAGGCTGTTTGCCTGAATCATCCAGACCTCTCCGGTCCAGCTAGCTCTCCAGAATCTTTGTTTCTACCATTTCTTAAACCTCACATCTCCAACCTTCCTGGGTGAATTCCAGCTTGATTTTTAGCAAAAGACAGTTCCATAAAGTAGGCCACTAATTATCCTACCCAGAAATGCACCTTCCTTCTAAACTTTCTATGTACTAGAGGTCTGTCTCAAAAATAAATAAATAAATAAATAAATAAATAAATAAATAAATAAATAAAACAAAAAACAACCATGAATTCAAGACTTTCTACTAAATATAGGTCTGACTCAAAAATAAATAAATAAATAAATAAATAAATAAATAAATAAATAAAACAAAAAACAAACAAAACAAAACAAAATAAAACAAAAACAAAATACCAAAGTTTCATTGATTTGATGGTGTATTGGGATAAAATTAAATACTATCATCTTACCACCTTCTCAGAAACTTATTCTCACCTTGCTTTGTCTGGAACTTTGCAACTATTTATGTTTCCTAAGGATAGTTTTAGCTGTCCTATTTTCCCATGGTCTTTGATCAAAAGTAACATTTCTAACCAGTAATTGCTTCTCCCCTTTAAGAACAAAATAAACAAGAGTCCCAACTTCTAAGGCAGATACAGGTGGAATATTATCCTGAGTTCATAAACAACATTCACTTCTTTTCAGTAGGATCAGGGCAGGGTAAGTAGTTAAGATTCTCCATCCAAGTCCCACAGGGCTTAAAAGCACCAATTCAATGGTGCCTCCTTGCAATGCTTCTACAAGTGCAGTGTTAAAGTCCTTCCTTAGCATCTAATAAGTCAAAAGCTGTACGGATGTGAGTGTCCCAATCTTCCCCTCACTTCTTTCTCTTGTCCATAACAGTGACCATTCTTACCCTCCCTACTGTCAAATTCTGTGGTTGCAAGTTTTTGGAGTCTACAATCGATCTTCGAAGTAAGAATATTATTGTGTAAATGGAACATCCAGGAGTAGAAGAATTGCAGAATGACAAGAGAAGATGTAAAACGCATTACTCAGAGCTTAGAAGGAAATCCTTTGTGGGGAAAAGGACTTGAGAAAAAAGCATTAAGTTGGAGACTTTCTTCTAAATATTCCAAGCTAGTTTACTTAAGAGGAACAAGCCTTCAAAGGAATTGTTGGAAATTGATAAAAAAATTTTTTTAAGAGTTTATTACCTTTACTCCATCCAGGTAAGTATGAAGGGCAGGGAACGGAGACATTTCCAGGAGAAGAATGAGGCCAGCACACATATCGATCAAAAGTTCCATTACAAAATATGCCTGTGGAGAAAAGGGCAGGAATGGACATTAGTGTTTGTGCACAGGGTCCTCAGAAGTAGAGACACCCAGGAGCCCAGAGCCCACCTTCCTGGAAGCTGATGTAATCTTTGCAGAAGCCAGAATGGGTGTTCTACACTCTAGATCAGTTAAGAAGAAGGGATGTTTTGGGGAGTACAGGAATACTGAATGTAGTCCGAGATATCATGTATTTTTCTACCCAACTTGACCTCCAATTAACTGTCAATGTACACATCACAATGACTTTGTTTTATTATTCATGAACTGAACTCTCATGTAAACTCAGGAGGGCACTTGGAGGTTCAGCAAGTGACTTATGTTTCATAACTAAATAATCATGAATCTTCAGCAATTAGATCCTAGCACATACAAACTCTGAAATGTGCAAAATGACCTCCTGGGTTTTTACAGATCATTTTGTTCAGGGGTCTGTAGGTGGGCAGGAGACTCTAAAGTCTCCCTTCTTTTCTTATCCCCGTGGGTGTAAAGGGATCTGCGAAATTAAGTTCTTGGCCATGTGCATCTGGCACGAGAACTGCACAATCCTCTCTCTCCATATGAAGGCTAATTTAATGATTGCTGTGAGATATTTGGATCATCTCAGGTTCAGGAGATTATTTCCATCACACTATTTGGCAAAGAGGAGCTACAAACTTCAAACTCACTCTCATAGGTCTCGAACTTTCATTTTGTTAGCTCCTGACTATTGGAAACCAGGCATCAGTGCCCACCTTCTGCTCCCTATTGGGCTGGAGCTCAGGGGCCACTTGAGCGAGAACAGCCAAATTACCGTCATAGAACCCAACAAACACAGACATGTTAGACTAGAAGCTGGCTTGGAACACTGTGGACCTGGCTGCCATGTCAGCACCTGGTCTCTGTGAGGCAGTGTTCACCTGGCTGAGCTGTTCACAGCCTGGCTCCAGGTAAAGAGGACAGGCCCTACTTTGACCTCAGAAAGGAGAATTCCCTGACGTGGTTTCTGTAGCTGATATTGAGCCTCCATTGCTACCTACCCAAGCTAAATGGGTCTTTAGAGGGAGTTGGCTTTAGGGCTATGGCTTGAAGCTTGGGATAAGAAAGGGAGACTTTATAGTCTACTGCCGACCTCCAGACCCTGAATGAAATGGTCTAAAAGAAGCCAAGAGGACAGGGAGGGTGTAGCATTCATCCACCCAATGCTCTCAGGCAATGGGCCGATGATCTTTCTTCTTATTTCCCTTTTCTATTTTTTTAAAGAATTATTTTATTTAATTTTATTTATTTATTTATTTATTCCTTTTTATTTTGACCAGAGAAGGACAGAGCAAGAGAGAGGGGGAAAGTGAGAAAGCAAGTCGCCAGGTCCAGGACTTGAACTGTAGTCAGCCATGTGGGAGTCCAGCATCTTTACCATGCCACCTTATTTATTTTCCATTTTAAAATGGGTGCAGTACATGTGTGTGCAGCCAAAGAGCCAGGTGAGTCTGTGGGTAGAACCAAGCTATGGCATGTTTGCTAGCGTGCTCTAAATGTCATGTGGACTTCAATAAGAGAAATGTTATTGCTCAGATTTAGTTAATACCCTGGGAGATGGAGGACTTCCACCCTCCTAAGATTCTCAGGTTAATCTACAACAGTTACTCATGGCATGTGATTAGGCAGAGAATATGTTGTGGCAGAGGGCTTTTATCAAAGATGTCACATCCATTCATAATCTATCCCACACAGTCTTTTATGGTGAGAAGTAGAGGTCTATGTTTCCTCCCCTTGAGCCTAGGCTGACCCTCTTAACTGTCTGACCCAACTGAGCATAGCAAAAGTGACTTTGTGTAACTATCAAGGCCATGTCACAAAAGGTGATGTGGCATCTGGTTGGCCTACCACTTGGAACCCAGCCATAATGCTGTGACAAAGCGTAAGCCATGAGGGAAGCTATGTGGAGGTGAGAGAGGCCAAAGAGACAGTATCAACCAGTAGACAGGGACATGAACAAGACTTCCTGTGATTTCAGCCTCCAGGCTTTGACTCTTCCAGGTAAACTCTTGACACTGTAGAGAAGAAACAAGGTATCTCTGATGTCCCCTGTCTGAATTCCTGACCCACAAGATGTGAGGGATTCTAAAAGATATTATTGTGTTAAGCTGCTATGCCGCTGGAGCTATTTGTTACACAGCCACAGATAACGCGTGCTTACCAGAAGGTTTCTTGAGTAAGTTTCTCAGACATTCCTCTTTGTACTGATTCCACTTTCGAGTAGTCTCCTGAAGGAGAGATCCTGTAACCTGAGCAGACAAAACCGTGGTCACCCCAGTTCGCTACAGAAATAAGGCCTTGTTATCATCTCACACCATGATTCTCAGACCTTCCCAGTGAAATGCCCTTGAGGCCTGCACTAAGGAAACAAAATTTCTTTGGCATGTGTTTAAGGGAGATAGACTCCACATGGCTGGGATCCCCCAGTTCGGATCCAGCCTGGTGGCTTGAAAACCATTCTGGGCATGTGAGTGTGCATTTTCAAAATCCCAGGAAGATAGAAAAATAAAGGAGAAGTGATTGTTGCGTGATCATAGCCAATTGGGGGGGGCACTTTATCTCCCCCCTTTCTGTCTGTTTCTCTGTCTCTCTGTGGTGAGCACACAAGCCCTCTGATGATTAAAAAACAGATATAAATTTTATATTCACTAAATTATCTAATCATATTAGTTTTAATAGAAACATGAAAGATTTTATTTCAGAACTGTTAAATGAGGCTGACATTTCAAGAGGTTACATTCTTGTACTAAACTTTCACACCTTCTCACATAAATAGTTGCACATTGCTAAGACTGTGTGGATCCCAAAGGGAGAAGACTCAGTAATGTGATACTCTAGGGCCAGGAGACTTGCTGGGGCCTGCACCATCCAGGTGTCAGTGTGTCTAGATTCAAAGGCACCAAGTGAACAAACACTCTGCTACTGTACTGAAGCCTTCAGCTTTCTTCCTTCCTGTTCCATAGAACCTTCGAAATACAGCATACTGGGACTAGCAGTTAGCATAATGGCTATGTCACTGAACTCCCATGTAGTTGACCATGGTTTGAGTCCCAGACCCAGTGACTTAAACTCATGCCAGGCACATGTGCATGAGTGCCCAAGATCCCAGGAGGAGAATGGAGAAGGGGGGGTTATGGGGGGACCATCCCCCCCAGGGGGTGATTTCTTGCTTTCTGTCTCTCTGTCTCTGTCTCTCTGGTGAGTGCACGTGCCCTATAGCAAAAACCTCTCCAAAATACAGCATACATTTTTTAGGTTTTCCAGGTAACTAGGTTGTCTAGCACATTCTAATTGTGTACCTATATCACTTTAGTTTATATTTTATTTTTCTTCCATGAGTGATAGAGACATGCAGAAAGAAACAGGGACATAGACACAGGGACACAGAGAGAGAAACAGAGACAGAGAGACAAAACCCACTCAGTGTCAGCCACCCTCAGATCATGGGTCATATATGCATGGCATGTTCAGGAAGGCCACATGCAAAGCCAGTACCCTCCCATGCAATCAGTCTTGAAGAGTGTTGTGCTACTGCGGTGCCACCACCTGGGCTCCCTTTGGGGACTAAAAGGGGCTTTCCCTTCCGTTATTCAATTTACTCATCTTCACCGACCACCTGTTGTGTGTCAGGCCTTGTGTTAAGGGGATGCAAAGATGAGTGAGATACCACACCTACCCTAAAAAGGATTTAGACTCTGATAAAGATGAAGCAGCTCTATAACCAGCTGGTGGACCAAGTCAAGTGGCATTCTACCCCATCATCCTCGGCTTCCTTACAGGTGAGACTGTGTGGTTCAGTTCTTGGCACCTTGGTCTCTCAATGACAAAGCAAAAGCCACGTGTTGTTCTCGACTCCACCCTTCTCCTCTGGTGCACCAGATCTCATTAGCTCCACCTCCTAAATTTCTCTCTTGCCCAATCCTATCTTCCATTTCCTCCACCCCTGACCTGGTGCCACCATCCCCTCTCCACACTGTTCCAGAGTGATAGGTCCACAGAACAGATCTGAGCACAGGGCTCTCATGTCTGTGCTCTTCATGTGTGGGCTGTTGACTCAGGACTTAACACTTCCCCCGTCCCTGTCCCAGGTCATACTCTTTCATGATTTCCCATCTCTGCAGCTTTCACTGACACTCCCTCCTGTCCTTTTCTTCACTTGGCTAATTTCTATCATCCCTCAAGGCACAACTCGAGCCTAGTGACCCATGGCCACCTCTCCCCCTGAAATCTTGAGCTGGGACTCCTCCTCCTGATTGCCCTCCAATCCTATATAGGACTGATCTCTATGGCTGTCATAGTGTGCTGTCATCAGCTTGCCCCTCACCCTCACTACCCCATAAGTTTCTTGAGGACTGAGGTATGTCTCCATATTGGAATATAAGCCCCTTTCACAGGGCAAGAGTTACTGCCCTCATTTTCTAGCTAAACAGAGGCACAATTGCAGGGTAGAGAGTGGAGAAACAAACATGGTGGGGGTTGGGAGGATTAGTAAGTGATCTGACCTAAGCTCTCCCAGCTACCTGGTTGACTGAGACTTCGTCTCTTTTCATAGGAGACAAAAAAACTCAAGGGCAGGACCAGCAGTTAGCATAATGGCTATGTTGCTGAACTACCATGTAGTTGACTGCGGTTTGAGTCCTGGTCCCGGTGACTTAAACTCACGCCACACGAGTGTGTGTGCATGCCCAAGATCCCAAAAAGAGAATGGAGGAGAAGGGATTGTGGCGTGGCCTTCCCCCCTGGAGGTGATTTCCACTTTCTGTCTCTCTTTCTGTCTATGTTTCTGGAGAGCACACGTGCCCTATAGCAAAAACCTCTCAAAAACAAACAAACAAACAAAAAAGAAAAAAAAAAAAAAAAAAACCTTGAGGTCATTCTCAGGCCAGGTAGAAAATGAGGTAGGACAGGACTATAAGAATCCCTACAGGTATAACCAGCGAGAGTGGAGGAAACGGTATAACAATTGAGAGTGAGGATTGCTCCACCCAAAGGCATTCACATTTAATCAAACACACATACTCTCAGCTAAAACAATTAAGCTTATGAGCCCAAAGAGTGGTCGATTTTCAATTCCTGACCACGTAGTCCATCTCACCCTCTCCACACTCTGCCCAGGGTAAGGCCTCAACACCATGGCTTTCCTGAGAGGGCCACTGGGTGGTTTCTTTGCATCTTTTCTGAGAATTAAACAGCTCGCTTTTCAAAGAAAAACTAGTATGGCATCATTAGAACAAAAGTTCCCAAACTTTCTCAATTACTGTCTCAGTAATTTTTCCATGGCACTCCTAGTCAAAAGATATATCTGAAGTTCCACTTCTTAAGTAGGTAGGTCCAAATGTCTTAGTAAACACAGTCAACCTTTCGAATCCCTGAGTTCCTTAACTGTAGTCAACCAACTACACATAGAAAATATTTTTTTAAAAAATTAGTTGTGTCTGTATGAAACAGACTTTTTTCTTGTCATTATTTCCTACACAAAACAATATAACAATAATTTACATAGCATTTCCATTGTATTAGGTATTGTAAGTAAATTGCAAATGATTTAAAGTATATGGAAGAATAAGCCAAATCCATGGCCTAGTAGTTAAGAGAGCCGGATACCACATGGTCAACTGTGGTTCAAATCCTGACCCCAGTGGCTTGAAAAACATTCCTGGTACATGTGCATGCATGCTCAAAATCCCACCAGGATGGAGAGATGAAGAAGGATTGTGGCATGACCATGACCCATTACCCTCCATCTCTGGTGAGTGCACATGTCCTGTGGTAATTAAAGAAAAAGTATGTAGAAGGATGTGCATGGGTTATACACAGACACTACACCTTCTCATAGAAGAGACTTGGGCATCGTAGGTTTTGACATCCTTGGGGATTCTGGAACCAAGCCTTGTGGATACTGAGAAGCAACTACTTAACAATGTAATGACTACAGGGCATTATGCAACTCTCAGGCTTTAGAACCAGATTTGACACCATCGCCTTAACTTCCTGTTCTACATCAATTTTTGTGTTGTACAGTTTTTGTGTTTTTATCACTGCACCTCCAGAAAAGCTTTACAAAGATACCACATCATCAAAAAGAATGAAGTGAGACCTGATGTTGAAACCGTGAGTCCCTTGAACCAGGTGTCTGCACAGTGTTTAGCAAATGCCATTCTCTCTAATGCTTCCCTCGGAAATTGGAAAATACCTTACAGTGTCCCGGTGAGTTCACAGTGGTGCCATGGGACACTTTAGCACACAGTTTGGGAACCATGGGACTAGCCAATAATAATAATGATGATATAATTATTGCCTTTTATCCCTTATTTTCTGTTTCCAGTGAATTTCAAATCTCTACTAAGAATACCTCTCTTGAGTTATGGCTCGAAGTGTATTAACATATCATTTAAAGAAATAAACATTCTCATGGGAATAGAACTGACTCTCTGTGATTTTTACAAATTGAGTTGATGAGTTGATAACCAAGTACCACGCTTCCAGAATCCTCAAAGTCATCAAAGTAAGACCCTCTCTTGGATCAAGCTTTATTGATGTCCTCAGAAGCCATATTGGGACCTAAGGAAGGGACAATAAAACCAGTGCCCACACAACAGTCTCCTGTCCTCTCCTTCGCCATGGTGAGTGGTGATGGTCAAAAGCAGAAAAACAAACGAAAACTAAACAGTACTGCATCAGTTTGTCTTCCCAGGTATTTGTCCCAAAGACAGCAACATACAAAGGCACATTCATGAGCAGTCATGGCCAGATTGCCAGACAAGCACAAGGACAGGCGATGGAGGGTGGGTTTCTTTCTTTCCAATTGGAAAAGCTCAAATGGACCTTGATTCCTCTTTCCTTACAGAAGCAACTGGCATCATGACTAACTGGACAGAGAAGGGGTGAAGGAAAAGAAAATAAAACACTCTTCTATGAACCCCCCGTTAATTACCATAAACCTACAAGTCTCTTTAGAGAAGTAATATGCTTTGCTGTAGAAAACATTGGGTCGTTGGAACAGTCAGGACGCATTTCTGCATAGGAAAATACGACGTGACTTTTCTGATGATCAGTAGACACTTCACCTCCACAGATAAGCAAAAACGGGAGACAGTGAAATCTTGATCTCACTACTCAGAAATTACCATCTCCTTTCGACTCCTCTCTATGTACGTGTGACATTCTTCCCTTCCTTTTCTCCTTTGGGATTTTCCCCCGAAAAGAAAATCATACTGTTTTGTAGCCTTTTATTTTTCACTAGGAGATACATCGTGAATATACTTGCATTTCAAGAAATCATTGGAAAAATAAAATAAAGGACCCTTTTAATAGCTACATAATATTCTATGAATGAACGGCTTTAAAAATCCTCTAGCATTGAACATCTAAGCTACTTTCAGATCGTTGCTCACATAAATGATGCCGTGTTGAAATCCTCCTAGTTAAACATCTGAGAGCACATCTTTATTTACTTAAGAGAAATTCTTTGAATTGGAATTTCTGGGTCATAGAGCATACACATTTTTCAAGATTTTTAATAATGTGCTGCCACACGGCCTTATCCTCCCCCCCCAAATAAATTTTAAAATAGGCACCATTTTACACTCACATTAGAAATGTACAAAACCCACTTCGCCAAGAGCTTCGATTGTTTATGTTTCCTGATGCCAAAGCAATGCGGAGTAACTGAGTGTGTGGGGGTGTGTGGAGATAACACGATGTCCCTGCTTGAATTCAGAAACTAAACGATCCCTGAGAATTTCTCATTAAGTGAATTTTATGAAGACTTCCTGCCAGGAAACACGCCACAGTCATTTATATTCCATGCAGAAAAGAGACGATGAGCAAAATACATCATGGATGTCTATGCAAAGCCCTGTAAGATAAACATCTGGAGAAAGAAGACGGGGTTTCAGAAGGAGAACTGGGGGCAGAGTCATCCCAAGTGCACTCTCTGGAGGAGGGACAGCCAGGAGCGGCTCAGAAAACACAGTCTGGGTGGCAGAGGGTGCGAGAGGCCTCTGCCAGCAGGCACATTATTGATTATGGAAATACCAGCGCGAAAGAGCCAAAGTATGATTTTGTCAGCTCTGTAAGCCAGCCTGAGGCGCTGCAGATTCTGCTGCTATAATATATAAATATTCAAATGTCAACGGCTCCCACGACTGCTAGAGAAAAAGAACCCAGGACTTTAAACACCCTGAGTAGAACGCAGGGACTCCACAGCTGGCGAGCTACCATCTAATTCCTCTGAGGCTTGTTTTCCCCATCTGTTAAATGGGTCCAGTAATAACTCATGGGGCCATCACAAAGTTCATGGGAAATAGGCGTTATGAAGAAACTATGCAATTTGAGGGGGCAACAAAATAAACTGGTACCTTAATTCAATTTTCCACCAAGTTTTGGACGTCCTTTGTCCCTCTTCTCAGAACTTGTGACGGTTAAGCAAGATGGTGTGTGAAGAAGCATTTGATGAGAATGTGCCGGTTTTGTAGTTGGGCTTGGCGTGTAGTAAGCAACGTGTGCATGTTTGTGGACAGGAGATGAACAAAGCTAGACAACTCACTTCATATATTTGGGCTTTTTTTTTTCTTTTGTTATGCCAGAGGATACATGTGCACATACAAGGGGAAAAGAAAGAGATGAAGAAAAAAAGAGAGAGAGAGAGAGAGAAAGCACACCCAACAGGGCCTGGTCACACTGTAATCCTTTCCCCTCCAGTTGTCCAGTCCATCAAGATCTTGGGCCTGTGCACCTGGTGTGTAAGCCACCCCAGTTGGGACTTGAACCCTGGTTGGCCATGTGGGATCCAACTTCTTCTACACAGAACTTAACGGCTCTACAGGGTCTGTCCATGAATATGTTTGGTCTTAATGTGAGAGATGCAGACAATCCAAGCATGGATGAGAGTTCTGTATCACCTCCCTCAACCATGGCCCTGCCACGATCAGACTAAAGTCTTAGGGCCAGAGATGAACTGGGGATGATGTGGTCCCTCCACAAAAGGCTGCCACTGTGTCAAGAATTCCATGAAATCATTGACCAGGCTCACATTTACAATCCGCGAAGGCTTGAAGGGGGCCTTCGGGAGAATTTGGCTGCAGAGAAAGTGGGAAGGGAGCTAGTCCCGGCTAGCACTGGAGAAAGTCCAGTAAGGTGAACACTTCTGAGCTCCTGCACACGGCCCTCCCCACACAGGGGAGAGGGATTTCGAATTCTTAGACTGCAGGGATCAGCCCTGCCATGAAGGACGAAGACAGCCATTCCTTTAGGTACTTTCTTCATTCAGTTGAATGGAACTGAGGTTCCTTCCCATCACAGCCAAAAATAAAACCCTGGAAAGGGACAAGGCAAAGGACTAATCTCCTTGGATAAGAATAAGGCAAGTTCCCAGCATGTCCAGCTATGGAGGATAGTGAAATGTCTTGTACAAGGAGACTTCAAAATATCCATGCAAAATGGAATTAAAGGATAGTTTGTTTTGGTGTTCCCCCGAAAAAGGCAACCATGCATAGTTTCTCCATAATGCATATTTTCCATGAGCTTTTCAAAGACCCTTATACTAAGTCCTTAAAGCCCTTAAAAATCATGCCACGAATCTGCAATTACTCACATAGAAAAATGGTGCTTGGCCTTCCTGAGACTCAGTTTCCTCACCTGTAAAAATGAGACTAAGAAAAGAACATCCCTCGTGGAGTTATTGAAAACGTGAAATGGGATACTGTGAGGGCCGTGCCCGGTTCCAGACTGAGGGCGTAGTAAGTGTTCAATAAATCTGAAAGTTGACTTATCAGTGTATTTTGTTATGAAAAAAGCAGATGACAAAATAATACAGTATAATTCTCTGTTTATTTTTGTTTTGTTTTGTTTTTAAAAATATGTAAATAATGGCAGAAAAATGTCTGGAAGAATAAACCCCCAAACCTGAACGAGGATCATCTCTGGCTAGCAGAATTACAGTGATTTATAGTTTGCTTTTAACTCCTTTGGATTTTATAGGTCTTTTTTTTAACAATAGCATTCTATATTTTTATAATACGAAGGAAGGAAGGAGAGAGAGAAAGAAGGAAAGGAAGGGAAGGGAAAAGAATGGGAGAACACTCCATTCACTTAAAATACTTAAACCTGAACAAATACTATACAGAAAGATATCTGTAGCAACTTTAAATGCTATTTACAGAGTTCTCATTGACACAAGAAGATGTTTATAATATGATGCAAAGGGGAAAAGTGGGATACAAAACTTTGTAATTAAAAAAAAAACATAAAAAGGATTTGAGAAAAATACACAAAATATTAACAGTGATTACCCCGTAATGGTGAGATTACAGTTGAGCCTTCTTCTCTTAATATTGTTTTCTATTTTCCAGATTACCTACCAGAAGCCTGAATTGCTCCTCTAATCAGAAAATGTGCACAACTAACAATATTAATAATAATAATCATACATAATGAACTGCTCTTACTTGCTTGATGGAAACCAGCAGCACCAGAGCGAGGAAGGGCCTCCCAGGGACCCAGAGAGAGCGCTTCCCGTGGGAGGGGAGAGGGCTGGTGCCCCGGGAAGCAGAGATGCCTACGGGCTGCACAGGGACCCCGGGCAGGGGCCTCCCTTTTCCACCGCCAGGCCCAGCACTGCTCGGTCCCCGCTGCATCTTGCTGCGCTGGTTCACAAGTGTGGGCACATCCTCCCAGCCGTCCACTGTGTAGCACAGGTGGTGGCCTCTCGCATTCCTCTTCGTCCACAGAGGAGATGTTTGCACAAACCCTCTCCAAGCGTGCCAGAGCGTCTGAGCCACTCTAGAGCAATCCACCGAATCTCCAAAGTTTCACATCAACAGTGGCTCATCCCCGCCCCGGCTCCCCCCTGGAGCAGAGAGATTTTTCCCAGCCCTTCCCCAAGTCAGCTGTGCTCTCTGGGACTTCCTCACCAGGCGGAAGGGAAAAGCGAGGCAGCGAGTGGGTTCTTCCCCAGGATTCTGCTCAATGTACAGGCCAGGGCGAGGCAGGCTTGGGTTCGAGCTAATAAGAGACAGCTGGCAGGAGAGGATAGGCTTCCGGCCAGCTGGAGGCGGGCATTTTTCTGAGGGGATATTTCTTTCTAAGGCATTAAGTTGTCCAGGCCAGGCTGAGGCCAATCACAACGCCAGAGCCTCCTCTGGGCTGGTGATGAGAAGCCCAGCGATCACTCCTCCTGAGCACTCACTTGTCTGAAGCCACATGACTCAGCCCACCTGGCAGGTCCCTTCACGGGGTTCGTGACTCCCTTACGAACCCACATATTAGCACATTCTCGCCACAACTCACATTTATACAATCTTTTCTCTTTTTAACTTTCTTTCCTTTTTTTTTTTTTTTCATGAGCAAAAGAGAGAGACAGGAAGACAGCACCCTCAACAGGGACCCAATGCCACGATCCATTCCCAGCTCTAGTGGTCCCAGATCACAGACATGCACTTGCCCAATGTACTCAGGGAGGTCTCCAGATGCAGACCCAGAACCTTCCCATGTGGGTCAGCATCACCAAGCATCACATTTCACCTCTGTGCCATTGCCCAGTCCCTACGAAGTTTCTTCTTCCTCCATCCCATTTCATTCATCTTCATAATAATCTTGTAAGGGTATGATTAATTCTCCATTTGACAGCTGAGACATATTGAGATTCAGAGAGGTGAGGATGATTTCCCAAGGCAACACAGCAAGCAAATGGCAGAGCTAGGATAGCTGTCTTCTGATCCGTCACCTGACCACAGCTACTAGAGAAGGTGCAACTCCTTCCTCCTACCCTCTTTGGGTGAGCACCTTTCTCCAGCAAGCTCATTCCTGTGCCTCAGAGGGGCCCTTTCCATCCCACCTTTCCCTAGTCAGCTCATAGCATCCCCTTCCAACTAATTCCAGCCTCTGGAACCAGAAGTTCAGGTGGAAGGTGCCTGATGGGATGAAATGTCAGATCAGCGAGAAACAAGGGCATGTTCTCACTGAAGTTATTATTCTATTACTATCATTATTATTATTTGCCATTCAAATTGAACCATGGATGCTCATCTTGGTTAACTTACCTGACTGAATGAATGAAACTGAGTGGCAACTGGGAAAAAACAGGTGAGCACAACTTAGTAGAGACCCTTAGAAATCTAGGACCAGGAGATAGGGTAGTAGTTAGGTTGCTGAATTCCCACATGGCCAACTGCAGTTCGAGTCCCAGCCCTGGTGGCTTGAAACTTATGCCAGGCACATGTGCATGTGTACTCAAGATTCTGGGAGGAGAAAGGAGGAGAAGGAATTGCAGCATGGCCACCCCACCTGGGGGTGATTTCTCCCCTTCTCGCTCACTATTTCTTCCTTTCTCTCTCTCTCTCAGCAAACACACATGCCCTAAGGCAAAAACCTGTCCAGAAAGAAATCTTAAAAACACTATGTGGCAAGTGTTTAAATCTCAGCAGTTAAAATGCTAAGACGGAGAAGAAGACTCCACCATTGCTGCTGAAAACTAATGATTTCAAGGAAAAAAGAGAAATGAAGATTTTCTACTGATAATTCACCCTCCAGCTCCCAAACTTGAGTGGAGAGGCAAGGGGCAGGCCTTCAGAACAAGACTCCACTATTGTTGCTGAGAACTAGTGATTTCAGGGAAAAAAGAGAAATGAAGATTTTCTACTGATAATTCAGCCTCCAGTCCCCAAACCTGAGTGGTAAGGAGCCCCTCTAGCCTTTTCTCTGTCTCTATCACTGTCTCTCTATCTTCTCATTTTTTAATAATTTTTTCTTTTAAAAAAATTTTAAGGTAAAGTATTCTCCTGGCTTTCAGTTCCTCCTTTATTGTGTTAATAATCCCATCTCCCCCTTCCCTCCAGGAGAGGCAAGGGGCAAACCTTCAGAAGAAAACTCCACCAACGCTGCTGAGAACTAGTGATTATGCATGGCACAGGTGCATACCGCGGGATTTTTCTTTTTTTGCTTTTTTTATTAGTTTTTTTACTGTTTTTTTTTTCTTTTTTCCCTTTTTTTCTCTCTCTTTTTAAAATCTCTCTCTCTCTGTTTCCTTTTCTTTTTATTTTATCTCATCGTTCTGTTCCTCAATCTTCATTCACTATGTTTCTAGATGGATCTAAGGGAACCATAGCCAAACATCCAAATACTATTAGGGTTAAGATATTTCTCAATAGCTACTGAATCTGCTGCACAAAGGGATAAAAATGACACAGCAAGAGATTCCAGATCACCTCCCTCTGCACTCTCCTGCATGCTCAGATTGAACTTCAAGAATTAGGAAGAAAACACACCATCCATCAGACAACTAGAAATCACCACAGGGTCATAAGAAATATGGGAAGGCAAGAAAATAGCTCTCCACCAAGGGAAAAGAAAACTCTTCATCCTCAGACAGTTCAATGGAAATCATGGAAATGTCTGATAAAGAATTTAGAATATTCGTTATGACAAAGCTAACAGAGATGGAAGAGAAGAGAGACTATGAACTGCAGAAAAGGCAGGAGAAAGGAGCTGATGAGTTCTAGGAGGTGAGAAAATTCTTGCAAAATCTAAAAGAGGAAATATACATTATAAATAAGAATCAAATGGACCTGTTAAAGATGAAGGCTATAATACAGGAAGTCAAAATTTTCCTTGAAAGTATTAAAAGCAGACTAGCTTATACAGAAGGTCAAATCTTGGACGTAGAAGACAAAATCATTGGCCTAGAAAAATCCACCACAAAGACTGAGAAAATTGCCCCCCAAAATGAGAATAAGTAGGGAACCAGCAGTTAGCGTAATGGCTATGTCACTGGACTCCCACCTAGTCGATCACCG